GAGTCCGGAACTGTGAGTTAGGCCCAGATCACTGACTGTCACCGAAACTGTGCAAAATCACCCGAATTGGCCTGTTTCCTTCCAATTGCCTTCTTTATTGCCCAGAATCGAAATACAAGAGTAATGAGTACATTTAAATGCTAAAGTAGTGTAAAAAGGATGAAATTAAGGGGACAAAATAAGGTTCTTCTAAGTCTCATCACCTAGGCACATAAAGTGTAGGATTAATTTAATTTTTGAACTGGACCAGATTTCCAATATTGCCTTGGACCTTGAGATTAATGGGCAAACTGAAAAGTTACACCTGACCCCTATACTCGATTATGATACTACACTAGGTATTGGATTGGGTTGTTTTTGATGTACCAATCAGTGAGATCCTTAGCGGGGGTCAAAACCTGGGTATGTTGGGGCAATCTGGGAATTCATCTGAGTGGGTGATCATAGTGATAGGATCAGCCCCTTTGTCGGACAAAGGTAATGATTGGGGGTGCACTCTCACTGATGGAAACCAAGACTGTCGGCAGCCGATTTCAATCGTTGAGATTTATTTTGCAAAATATATTTTATATGAGATATAAAAGTATATATATATTATGGTTTCCAAAATGTTTGCAAAAAGGTTTTAATTCCCAGTATCCATATAAGCAGAGAGTGCAACACTGTTCCTTGCAGCCAAGGGAGAGGTCCTCTCTTGTCGGGCATTGTTTGATCATTATGGGTTGGGAGGTTAAGTGTAAGACCATAGAAGTTAATGCCTGATGGGTTAATCTTGCATCTGCCCACAATCCTTGGGTGTTACAAGGTGGCTTGGCCCAAGGACCACTTAAGGTAAGTGTTGGGCCCATAGAGCCCATGTGATGGGTTTCAGGGGGTGCACTGTCCATAATAGTGTATTCGCCAGGCCTTGTAACAAAGGCTGGGATGAACCCATGTGGCTGATGTGTAGATCATTGTTTGGGTCCCACGCCATACAAGGAAGCCCAACTGGGCAACAGTTAGAAAGGCTAAGTGAGCACATAACCTTAATGGGCCTAAAGCCCATTTCGAGCTGGGCTAATTTAAGTAGTTAAATATGGGGCGAATTTTGGAGTGGATTAGCAAATAGGATAGGGTCTTAGCCCTATCCACTCAGAGAGTCCAGATCTGAATGTGGAAACCTCCTAATGAGATTAGGAGAAGGCTGATCTAATATGCAGATAAGATAAGAATTTATCCTTATCACCTTAAGGGATGTCTGATCCAAATAAGATTTGGATCAACAACTCCTAATGGGATCAGAAGTTGATCCTTTAAGGTTACAAAAGAAGGAAGGGGCGGCAGCCTTTGGATTACCACAAGATCATCAGATCACTGCAAGTCTTTAGAGCTGAAATCATAGAAGAGAGAATTCAGCATACCTCTAAAAATTCTCTCTTGCTGCCTCCTTCCTGTCGCCGCCTCACCTGCCAGTTCGACCTCCCTTTCAGTGGGAGAAATCAAGATTCGATCTTGATATCAGGTCCTTGTGAAGGGACTGATAGGAAGTTGTGCTCACGTGCCATCCTGCTATTTCTTGCGAAGGACTAGGTTATTGGAGAAGAACACTGTTGATTCTACTCCATCCTACACTGCGCCATCTTCAGTGGGAGCAGTCTTTGGATCTTTCCTTGGGCGTGAACACTTTCGTTGGGAGATATTATTTCTCCGTATCAGGTATAATCCTCTCTTACTGCTTTTGTTCAGATCTGGTTCAGTTTATGGTTCAAGATTGATCTTTGAAAATATGATTTTCTAAATAGGGAATGCGATTCCCAGTTGAAGGGAGAGAATTTTTTTTTTTTGAAATTCGCCCACCTAATTTCGCATGATTTGGGCATCCATACGATGGATCTCTCATCCCTTCATTTGGGTGGAGTTGAGTGGTGTGTACTTGCTATAAGCCAGGCCGAGGGCGGTGGCTTCTTGCTATCCTTACTACTGTTGTTGTAGTTGTCTCCACTCTTTTTCTTATTTTCTAGGCCTCTGTGATGGTGGTCAGACTCTCCCTACTAGCGATCTCCGACCGAGGCCTCCTCGGCGACGATATACTTCTGGGCCTTCTTTAAAAATTTTGCCTTGGGCTTGGGTGGTGTCTTGGCTACCGAGCACTTAAGGGATGAGCCCGGTAGGAGGCCATTGATGATTGTGTGCATGGAGACCATGGGGTCGAGATCCCAAACCTCGAGATCCTCCTTCTTAAAGTGGTCAATGTAGGACCATAAACTCTCGTTGCGCTTTTGTCGAACAGCCATGAGCGAGACGATGCTCTTTTGGCATCGTCGGTTGCTGATAAAGTGGGCAAGGAAGAGACTAGTGAATTGTTCCCACGAACTAATGGACCAAGGGAGTAGCCCAGAGAACCACCGACGGGCCGCCCCCATGAAGGTCGCTTGAAAATGCCGACACTTCAGGGCGTCAGAGTATCCGTAAAGGAGCATAAGCGCCTTGAAACTCTCCAAGTGATCATCCAGATCAGTTGTTCCATGCTATATCAACCACAAGACCTCTTTCATGTTTTTCAAAGTGTTTTACAAAGGCTCTTAAAAAGTTTTCTAAAGAATATTTGTTTGTGTTTATGATTGTAGTTTGTACTAAGCTTAAAATGCTTTTAGCGTTATGTTTTGATTGGCTTTTAATGCTTTCCTCTACAGCAAATGTACCCCAAGATTTCTGATACCTAAGAGAGGTCATTTTTCCAAAATAAATAATTTTCATATTATCAGTTGTTTTTATTATTTTCTTTTAAAGCAAATGTACCTTGATTCAAGGTTCTTGATACTTAGGAGAGGTCACTTTTCCAAGAATAAAATACCCTGAACATGATAAAATAGTGATGCACGAGAACTCCTCTCCTTCGCCTCTTCATTCACTTTAATCTTCCTTCTTCGTCTTGCCCCTCTTCCAAACCTACCCTTCACAAAAATCTTTTTGTACTTCTTTTGATCTTTTGTTATTAGTAGTCTCCTACCTTACAACAAAGTGGAGCAACTATCAACAAACCATTCTGGTCACTCCAAAATGTTGAAAAACCCAAAGAACCCAAATTTCACCCAAAAAACCCTCAAGTCCAATCAAATTTGCTCAATACCAATTTGATGGCTCCAATCAACCCCTTTCACACCTCAATCCTCAAATCAAACACCACAATGTAAAATACCTACCCACACCACCATTAAACACTAGACAATGTAAAAGACCTACCCACAAATCTCAACTCGAAATTCCTCTATTTACCCTTTACCCTCTCATTAAACAAAAATTCCTTTTTAAAACCTCTCATTAGCCTAAACACCCACAACCCATCAACTCTAGATACATTAAAATAATAATTTATAAGGAGGAGAGGGCTAGTTGTAGAGAGGGGCTAAAATTCAGAATTCTGCATTTACCCAAATTTTTACGATCTCAACCCCTAAGACCAATCTAACATTACCACAAGATCCCGAATACTCTAAAATATCCACTCTAAAAAAATTTCAACTCAAAATACCTTTATTTACCAATCTATCTCACCAAAATTCTGTTCCAAACTTCTAAATTAACCGAACCAACTCAAAATACATTTGACATTCTATCTCACCAAAATTTCTAAATTAATCGAATCAAATCCTTGATCTACACAATCTGAACCCATTTTCTGACAGATTCTATTCCAAACCTTTGTCCTTTCCTCAAGTCGTTTCCAAATCTACACGATCTGAACCCATTTGACCCAAACTGACACCACAATCAACTCAGACCTAATTTCAATAAAAAAAAATACCACGATTTTATCAAAAAATAAAAAAAGTCAAAAAAACCGGCCCGCGACACGGCATAGACCCGCATAGCCAACCCCCAAATTATCTTTAGGTAGGTGGCACGGCCCAAGACAGCCCACGAGCCGACGGGACGGCCCACACTTTACACGGGCAGGGTGTGCCACGGCCCGTTTTCACCTCTACACGGGAGAACTCTCAGCCGAGTAACGTCCACAATAACACCGTTGTATTTATGACATGCCGAATTGACGACGATGCCCAGCCTCATTATCAATTTCTCTGTTACGTTCAATTTGTAGTCATAACAAACTACGGACCTTTTTTTTTATATGGAATCAACCCAAACACTCCCAAAGATTATTTAACCATATTATAGCAAAGTATTTGCTTATTTCTTTCTTTTTTTCTTGTTTTCTGAATATTTTAAGTTACCAAACGTCTTATTTTCTGAATATTCTAAAGTTTTCAAACCTCTCCTTTTTCAATACATGATTCTGTAAAAACTGGATGCTTTGTCCTGGTTTTCACTTTAATAAAACTTCAAACGAAAATTCATCGACCTGAATGTTCCTCCCCAATGTCAAATTGATAGGCCTTTGATATCTTTTGTTTTTTATCTTTTTCCTTTTAATCGCTGAGTTAAAGTTCATCGATTTTGTGATGCTAGACTCTCGTGATGGAACCAATTACCTGAGATTTTCTCAGTTAGAGAAGATTCTTATCCAAGCATAACGACCTAAGCAAACTAAACAAATAAATAATAAAGAGCAAAACTAAGAATTTTAGAAACTTTAAACCACACAAGATGTCACATGCTAACATGGACAGAAAATTAACAGATGAGAGATTTTTATCTGCCAGGGGAGAAGTCTTCTACCCAATTTTAGAAACTTCCAGACTATTACTACTATAAAAGTACAAATATATAGCTTAACCGGTTGTGATGATCACATCTGATTTCTCTTTGTTCAAGTCGTAATTATCTTCGTCGGTACGGTGTAACTGTGATTGGGTAGTGGCATTACGTTCACCGACGGCGTCCGAGTGAGTGTCGGAGATGCGGCGAGCACCGGAAAAGAGATCAACTGGTTCAGAATCGGCAATCTTGCCTCCTTCAATTGGGGTACCTGCCTTGTATCTCACCCTCAGAGTCTCATCTTCCGATAGCTTCGCCTGAGCTGTTCCATACTTTATATCGTCCTTGTTTTTGGCCATCTCCTCTTTCTTGATCTTCCCTCGTTAATTCGTCATTGTAGGCCAGGTTTTATTGGTGGGGATTTTCTGGTTACGTGTCTGCTGCTACTGTAGGTGTTACTACAGGTGTCACTTCAAAAGGCAGGTGTCTCCTCTTACCATGTGACATTTTTAAGAGGCAGGTGTCTCGTTATCTCTCAGATCTCCTTTCCCAGGTGTTATTACAGGTGGCACTTTAAACGGCAGGTGTCTCCTCTTACCATGTGACATCTTTAAGAGCAGGTGGTCTTGTTATCTCTCATATCACCTCTCCCTCCTCTGTATTTAGTAATGTTTTAAAAACGGACGAAGCCACCGTTTTTGCCTCTGGTTAGATCGTACCATGTTAGTAATATAATTTTGGGGTTTTTATAGTTCAGTCTATCCCTATAATTTTTGGTTTCTTGAAGTTTGTATTTATATTAAGCATGGTTTTTAAAACCGCATCGGACCGGAAAAATCGGAAATTAGTCAAATGACGGGTTTTGATTTTCCCCAAAATCAGATTTTTGCAAAAAAAATATTGATTTGGTCAATAAATCGTTAATCCAGATGGTTAAATCATTCGAACCATTCAACGGTTTTGATCATTTTTTTTTTTAATTTTTGTTTTTTTTGTCAAAATGAATTGATCGTTGAGTTTGAACAATCGGACCATTTGACCCAAGAACCAGACCCCTGACCAGTTCTTTCTCTAAGTCGATTTTAAAAACCTTGATATTAAGTATGCAACCTATGATTCAATTATCACGTTTAATGGATCAATAGTCTCCAAACTCCTCGATCAAATGGTTTTTAACAATTTCCAAGTTTTACTAAAATTGGATCCGAAATTTTGATTGGGTGACGGTTCAAATAATTCAACCTATAGTCGGATCAACGATAGATTGAAAACAATGGTAATGAGTGTAGATAGGGTTGTCAATGGACCCTAACAGTCCGATATACTTACTCTACGATTCCAAATTTGGATTTGGGTGTTAAATATGACATTTTATTAATAATCGGATCGGATGTGAATTTAACCCCATCCAATTATATATAATTATAATTATAATTATAATTGTTATGCTCGGGATGGTTAAGGACAACAAAGTAATTTTGCCCCTAAATTTCGAAAGCTGGCCAAAAGTTTCAAGGGTTCGAGGAGCTTGTTGTCGAGGCCGAGGTATGTAGGCCAAGGCGGAGAGGGCTCCAAATACTATAGAAGCCGAAGGCAGGTGGCCAAGGTGCTGCAAGGTAGAATACGTTAGAGGCCCCGGGTGAGAACCCGAGGCAGAGTCTCCGACGGTCAAGTTAGTACGGGGTACGAAGAGGAGAATTAGAATACAACTTATGAGATCAATTCCAAGTCTAGACGCAAATTGTATTCCCCCCTTACCTGGAGGGGAGCACCCCTATTTATACTTGAGCTGCATGGAGGTAGGTGGAGATAAATGCCTGAGATGGGTGCCGTACGAGGGAAATCAGAGAGCTTTGTGGGGACGCGTGGGCGTTCTGCGATTGGCTCTGTATGAGGGGAGCAAAGTAACTCCTGCTGTAGCGGATCTCGTTCCTAGGTCTGGCGTTCAAGGGCTATGCCTCCCAGCCTCGAATGGGCTAGGTTGGATCACCCCACATCACTTGCCCCCACTCCCGAGGCCGAGGAGAAAAATTTGGCTTCGGCTTATGGGAGTAGTAACGGTGAGCGCCAGTTAAGCCGAGGCTTTGAGTGGTCTATTGTTAGACAGTGTGTGCTCTTAGCTCCAATTAGCATGATGTACATTATGACATTTATTGTAAATGAATAAAGTACATATTTGATTCATTTATTATGGTGTGTTTCTGTGTAATACCCTTAAACTGGAAACATATGAGACTTGTGTTAGTTTAGAATCTTCACAGCCATTCGATGGATCTGGGGAGATTTATCCTACTAAGGCTGACACTGATGTACCACCAAGTTGGTTGGGGTGGCTTGTCTCAGCTGCCAGGGTGAGACCAGAGGTACATACAGTGTGGGTATTATTGAAACCTTGAACCAGACTAAAATTCCAGTATTGCCCGGGACCTTGGAGATAGATGGGCAAAACTAGAATGTTACACCTTACCCCTAGACTCGATTATGATGCTACACTAGGTGTCGGATTAGGCTGTCCTTGATATGCCAATCAGTGAGATCCTTAGAGGGGTCAAAACCTGGGTATGTTTGGGCAGTCCGAGAATTCATCTGAGTGGGTGATCATAGTGACAGGATCAGCCCCTTTGTCGGACAAAGTGAATGATCGAGGATGTACTCTCTCTGATGGAAACCTAAACTATCGGCAGTTGATTTCAACCGTTGAAATTTGTTTTGCAAAATATATTTATATAGAGATATATACATACATATATATATATATATATATTATGGTTTCAAAATGTTTACAAAAGGTCTTAATTCCCGGGATCCATGTGAGTAGAGAGTGCAGCACCGCACCTTGCAGTCGAGGGAGAGGTCCTCTCTTGTCGGGCAGTGTTTAATCATTATGGGCTGCGAAGTAAAGTGTAAAAACATTGAGGATTATACCTGAAGGGCTAATCTTACATCTGCCCACAGTCCTTGGGCCTTCATAAGATGGCTGGACCCAATGACCATTTAGTGTAAATGTTGGGCCCATTAAGAGCCCATAGTGATGGACTCAAGGGTTCACTGCATTCAGTAGTGAATTCGGCCAGGCCTTGTAACAGAGGCTACGTTGAACCCATGTGGCTGATGTGTAGAACAATGATAGGGTCCCACGCCATACAAAGAGAGCCAGCCAAGCTATCCAACATTAAAGAGGAAGTGAACCTGAAAGCTTAATGGGCCTAAAAGCCCATTTCGAACTGGGTTAATTAGATTAATTAAATAGGRGYRGATCTRDGATTTRGATCASBASATAAGATAAGGGATTATCCTTATCCACTTAAAGAGTCCAGATCCAAATAAAGATTTGGATCAAAGGAACTCCTAATTTGATTAGGAAGGTTGATCTTTATCTTCAGATAAGATAAGGGATTATCCTTATCACTTAAAGAGTCCAGATCCAAATAAAAGATTTGGATTAGGAAACTCCTAATGGGATTAGGAATATTTTTCTTTAAGGCTATAAATAAGAGAGTAGGGTGAACCTCCAAAGACACATTCGCTGAATAAAAAGAGAAGACAACACAGTTAGACTGCTTTTGCCTTCTGCTCTATTTCTTCCTGCTCTTGTTGTTAGACAGTTTTGTATGCCCTTAGCTCCAATCAGTTTTGATGTATTTTTGGTATTTAGTGTAAATAAATAAAAGTACATGTTTGATTAATGTTGTGTGGCATACTTCCATCATTCCGATTGAAGCTAAGGGCATACAAAAACTGTCTAACAGCTCCCACTTGCACTTAGGTCCAATCTGGTACAAGCCGGAGTCCCATGCTTTCCCCATGTTTCTCAAACACTTTCTGTAACAGAGGCTTAGTCAATGGGTCTACCACATTCTCTATTGATGCTACCTCTTAACATCATCCTCCCGTAGGTCCAGCATTGTCATACAATAGTGGAATGGGTGATGTGCTGAAWTCCAAATTCAGGAATGAACACCTTCATTCATAAGGCAGCCTCACTTATGGCAATGCGTTCGGCTTGGGTTGTGGACCGCTAATTTGCTACTTAGGACCCCTGTTTGCTGACATTCAAGAAACAACACACGATCCTATCGTGAAAACATACCCAGATGTAGACTTTCTATCATCTGGATCCGACTGGAACTGGCATCAGTATACCCCTGGATCTGTAGTGAGCTACCATCGAATACCAGACAAAACTCTTTTGTCCTTCGAAGGTACTTAAGTATGTTATTCACAACAGTCCAGTGCTCATGCCCTGGGTTGGCCTGAAATCTGCTTACCACACTCACTACCTGAGAAATGTCAGGCCGAGTGCACAGCATGACATACATGATGCTCCCTACGGCAGAGGCATAGGGAACGTCCTTCATGCCATCAATCTCCTCAGAGGTCTTGGGAGACATCTTCTTGGAGAGAGTGACTCCGTGCTTGAAAGGAACATTTCCTTTCTTGGAGTTCTCCATGTTGTATCTTTTGACTATTTTGTCAATGTAAACAGATTAGGATAATCCTATTATCCGCTTCGATCTATCTCTATAGAGTCGAAGACCTAATATATAGGAGGCTTCTCCAAGATCTTTCATGGAGAATTGCTGTGAAAGCCATACTTTCACCATAGCAAACATTCCTACATTATTCCCAATGAGTAGAATGACATCTACATACAGAACCAAGAACGTAACTTTATCCCCATTGGATTTCCTGTAAAAACACAGGGCTCATCCAGATTCTGCTTGAAGTCAAACGATTTGACAGCAGAGTCAAAACGGATGTTCCAACTCCTAGAAGCTTGCTTAAGTTCATAAATGGATGTATTGAGTTTACATACCATGTGTTCCTGACCAGTAGTAATGAAGTCTTGCGGCTGCTGCATATAGATATCTTCAGTAAGATCTACATTTAGGATTGCAGTTTTGACATCTATTTGCCAAATCTCATAATCATGGTATGTTGCTACAGCTAGCAGGATCCTAATGGATTTAAGCATGGCCACAGGTGAAAATGTTTCCTCATAATCGATGCCCTCTTTCTGAGTGTACCCTTTCGCCATCAGACGATCTTTGAAGGTCTCAATTCTACCATCGGGGCCCTTCTTCCTCTTGTAAATCCATTTGCAACCAACTGCTTTTACCCCGGAGGGCGGATCTACCAGAGTCCAAACTCCATTGGTCTCCGTTGAGTCCATCTCAGCTCTCACGGCCTCCACCCACTTCTGGGAATCTATGTCCAACATAGCTTCCCCATAAGTCACGGGATC